CCCGTGGTGTGTTCCCGTGGTGTGTGCCCGTGGTGTGTGCCCGTGGTGTGTGCCCGTGGTGTGTTCCCGCGGCGTCCATCCCGTCGATCCGGTCGCGTCCCCTGTTTCGCCCGGCGGTGACCGGCGCCCTGCGCTCTGAGGCTGGTCCCGTCAGGGGGTTGGAGCATTGCCCTGGGGAACCAGAGGGGTGGCTGTGTTATCGCTGTTGTAAAAGTTAAAAGAACGCGAAACTCCTGCTCTGAGAGCCCCGTTCTAACAGCGAAAGTCTTGGTCTGTCAGAGTCTGAGAGCACTGAGACTGGAAAGTCGGGAGAGCAGCACTGTAGTTCTGCACTTCCCAAATAGGGATCTCTCCCCTCACTGCTTTATAATTACTGAAGTAGGCATTTTGTGTTAAAGCAGACGTTTTAAATGTGGGAATAAAGTTGTTTTTTCTAATACAGCTCAGCTAAGGTATCTGTAGTACACATGGATTTGGTGATGCCAGTAAACATAATTATAATGGTGGAACACTGAACCTCTTGGGTTTGGCTCTGAGTGGTCTGTATTGTGTAATCTGTAAATTTTTTCATATCAAGTCCATTTCCTTATCCTGAGTCATTCAGTAATTTGTGAGGGTCATGTACTGCTTTTAGGTTTTTTGATGGTGTTTAGTGGTTTTTGGGGGGGGAGGGTTTATTTATTTATTTTTTTTTAAATTGGAGACAGTAGTACTTAGCAATGTCCATGGGACATAATTTCTTGTAGAGGAATCCTCTGTGAAAAGCAGTATTGTCTGCTACTAAAAACAATGGTTAATTCCATGCAAGCATCTGCATTTTACTTGCGTTGAAATATTTTAAATAATTATTTTGATAAATTTTTTTTTTCCCCTATAAGGGGCTCTTTTATCACCAAGAACCTTGCACTTGACTTACAGCCAAGACAAGAGGCTCTAAAGTTCTCACTTGTATTAAAACATTAGATTTCATGTTTAACAAATATATATTGTATACTAACTTTTGTTCTTTCAAACCCAAATAAGTGGGTTTAGAAAGTAATACTTGTTTAGGAGAAAAATAAATATGTTTTTAAATTAAAGTCTTATGGTAAATGTACTTTTTTTTTTTACTTTTAGAGTATGAAGCAGAACATCCTCAATTTCCAGATGTTCCTGAATCAAAACAAGAATCTGTGAGTACACTTCAAGAAAAAAGTCTGCATAGGGCTGGTTTTAAAAGATTTAAAATAACTAAATGGGAAAATTAAGTATCCACATGGTAGACTCATTCATAAAATGAAAACAAAAGTACATTTTTTAAACAACTTTTTTGAATCAACTGATGTAGTGTCCAAATAATTGTTTTTATTTAAAGCAACTTGTGTAGCACTCAGAAAATACATAAATAACTTAATATTTGAATAAGAAGTTATAGTTCCATAATTTTTAATTGACCTTATAATTTTTCCTGCTGAGTTGGTTTGCATATTTTTGTATAGTCTGTTGGAGTATTTAGATAGGTTACATTTATCTTAAACAGGTGTCTTTGGAAGCAGGAATATTGCAGCCATTAGACATGGAACAATTTAATTCTGCCCCTGCAGCTGATACTGTTGACCAACAGCTGCTTCCCATAGTCGAGGAAGCCCCCTCTCCAGAACCACCTGACCCAAAAACATGTAAGTAGGAGCATATTATCTTGATATTATCTGCTGTAATTATTTTTCTTGCAGATGGCAAGGGTTTGTAATTTGTTTAATGGAGAGTGTTAACAGCTTCAATACCTTTTCTTACATGGAATTGGCATGATTAGGCCCCTGGTCTGTAAACAGGGAGCCAGCCTGGGCACTTGGTCAATGGCAGAAATTTCAAATGGTGCATTACAAACCACTGACTGGCTCAGGTAGTTCTGTGCTCTTCTGAATAAGTGACTTTCTGTTTAGCCATTTAAATCAAAGAAAGGCAGACATTTCTTCCTCTAATTTAGTAATGCAAAACTAGGATCAATAGACTAAATAGACAGTTGAATTTGAAAACTGCTGTCAAAGTATGACTCTGCCCATCTGATTACAAATGAGAATGGAAACAGCTCTAGAGTTTTTTTCTTCCACTTTTATCAATTTCTATAGTTTATAAAAATTACCAAGCAGCAGTGTGTCTTTATTGTGCATTTTAGCCCTCCATTTCATCTTCTCTTCCATTCATTCTTGCTCATTAAGAATTCCTGGTGCTAGTCAGAAGCAGTGTTACCCTGGGCTTTTAAATAAATAGTGTCCTTCCAATTATGAACATTTTCTGGCAGTATATAAACCAATTAAAGATATAAAGCTGAGAATACATTCAGTATTTCAGCTGTGTTGCCAGAAGAGAACCTTTCTATGACTTATCTTTCCTGACCACACCAAAACTTGAATAATTTGTGAATGGAGAGAGATGCCAATCCAGTCAGCCTTCAGAAGGGGGAAAAATTGGATATATGCAGTCACATTGAAATTTCTGAAGCCTGTGGCAAGTAAAGAAGTAATTATGACAAAGAAATCACAGCACCACTGAAATATAACCTTTGTTTTTTCCTCTGTCTAAAAATTCAGTTTTATGAGCAACTCTGATAATGCAGATTGTAAAGGGCATGAGATACCAAAAGTGGTCTGGCTGTAACAGCACTGAGTTCAGCACAGGCTAAGTTCTTCCTGTCAGGGCAAATTAGTCCCCATGGCTTTTCATTTCTGTGACTGAACTGCTTCTGGTGTCTGAGTTTACTCCTTTAAAACTTAAGTCTGACATCTCTGAGGTGCCCTGAGTCTGCACTGTTGGTGCATCTTTAGTTTGAAATTTGCTCAAGTTTATGTTGTCTTGGCTGAAGAGAAGACACATCAGTGGCTGTATCTGAGCTGAACAAATCTGTTTAGTGCAAGCTGTGATGGTATTGATAAAATGACTGGTACTGAGTTTATGATTTCTAATATTTGTCTTTTTGTGAAATCAGAGTGCTTACCTGTAAGTGAAGTCTGTCCTGTTTTGCTCAGGTTCTCCACGAGAATACTTAGAGTTCTACATATTTCCAGTACTCTTACCTGGACTGACTGAACTTCTGCATGAAGCAGAGAAAGAAAAATGTTTTGAGGTTAGTTTGTAGTTTTTGGTTCAAATCATTGGCAGGAAGTTACAGCCTTTATTTCATGGGAAGTATTTTTTAAATTTGGTCTTTTGCAAGAAAACCAACCACAATTATATGATATAACATATAATAAGTTATTTTGGACCTGGTTTTAAATGTTGTTTTCTCCAGTAATTCAGAACAGATTGCATACTACATACACTTGATCATTATGATGATCTCTAGCTCCCAACAAATCCTCCTTAAATATCCATTTGTATCTAGCCTAAATAGTGTTATATTTTAGAGAAACAGGCTTCCTCTCAGATTAATACACATCACTCATTTGAGGGTGATGTACAGAACTTGATTCGTACTTCATGGTTCAATTATTTTTGCTGGCCTGGCATCTTAATAGAGATAAATTTTCTATTTTAGCTTTTTAACATTCTGTGTAAATTCCATTTAATTGGAAAACGGGGTATTCAACATTAATGAGCTTATAAAAGTGTACATTTAAAAAATAATTTTTGCTACATATACTTTTATAAATTTGTTTTCAGTGTATGTGTCTGTAGGCATATCTAGAGAGACATTCCTGGTGGTATATTGGCAATGCTTAAAAACCCACTAGAACTGGTGCAAAATAAAGCTCATTGTATCACCACAGCCTGACTCACAGACCCCCAGCAACAGCTTAGGTACTGGGAATTTTGGGGTCTTCCATAATTTCTGCTTTTTTCTCCAACCATGGCTACTTGAATTTCAAATCCAAATCTGTACATTTAATAACAGTTATTTCAAAGTTTCCTCCATTTTCTCAAAATCTGTGTGTATCTACAAACTGATTTACAGGTGTGTGTATATGCATTTATAATCTCTGATTAATACAGGTGAAATAGGAAAATGGTTCATTTATGTGACATCTCTGTCTGTCATTCCTGCCACCACATTTCCATTACCTGGCCAAGAACAGGTTGAGCATATATATTATTCATCACACTTTTAATGAAATCTGTATTGATTTTTTTTTTTTTAAAGGAAGCATGTATCCTTTAACAGGAAAAAGACATGTCCTGCAACTGATTTAAAATACAGTCCTTGATAGATGTTACCTATTTCTGGAGGCAATAAACCAGCACTTAATACAAAAATATTAAAATCTTTAGAAATATTTCAAACTCAAAACAAATCTAAGGTTACTTTGTCTGTTTTTAATCTGAGAAGTTTTGCAGTGGTGTGTATGTTAGAAAGTATGTGTTCTGAAAATGGATTTTGTATGGGTCTGTGTGTTGCTTTACAGCAAACTAATAAAGGCAATAACTTTCTAATGTATAGAATCTTCATAAAAATGTGTATAGCTTATAGAAAGGACACTTATCTGAAGAGATGCTCTGATATTGGGGAACCAAGTTTAGGGAAAGGAAGCTTATGTCGAATGATAGTTTTCCACTGTGACATCATTTCTTCCTCCTTTTGAACAATAACTAGTGAAACAATAGCTCTTTATGCTTGCCATATAATTGAATATTTGTGTTCTTTTCCATTGCTGTCCAGGTGCTTGTACTTGGACATTCTGTTTCCTTATCTGACCTAAATATGTGACTTCTATTTATACTTTTGTTTCATAAGAAATGTATTTATCCATATGGAATTGGAGAAAAAAAGCCCCATGCTATAATTTGTATCAAAATAGTTCATGAAATAACTTGAACTGATTTTTAGGATCAAAACCAGAGTCCTTAGAAACCCAGAGCAAAGCAGAAACAGGGAGAAAGGATCTTGTGATAAACACACTGGAAAATAGCTTTAAAAAACAGGAGGAGAACAAACATTTGAAAGATACACGCAATTCGTGAGAGAATGGGAGAGGAACGAGATTAATTGTGATTAAGCTGACTGAAATCATGAAGGATGAGAATACTGGGTTTGAATTTTGGCTAGACATGAGTCATTAAAGCCTGTAAAGGGCAGTTGTACAGAATAAACCATTAATGGAAGAAGCATTGGAAGAAAGGGAGGAATAATCAAACTGACTGCAGTCAATGTTGAATGAGCCTGGGAGAAGAGAGAGGAAGTTGTGAGGGAAAATGGAGAGTGGGATTTTGATGAGAAGGACCGAAAGTTTTCATGTTTTGAAAGGAAATTAAGATGAATGAGAAGAGAATGAAAAATTAAGTAGGAGAGTTGTTGAGTAATTGAAACTGTGGTAAGCGAGGTCAGATCATGGAACCAACAGAGGAGTTCAGGGAAGAGAGCAGAAAAGATGCATCCATGTCTGGAGAGGAAGAATTGTAATCACATGGGAAAGTCAGGAAGGGGAGACAGTTCTGCTGGAAGTAGTGATTTGTGTAGGAAAGAAATCTGCAACATCTTCTTTGGAAGGTGATATAGAAACATAACAATTTAAATAGTTCATTTAAAATAGGCTCTCTTGCATTGTGTAATGCATATGAAAAATCTGAAAAGCAAAAACCTAGAAAACCCACCAACTGCTAGATAGATGTGCAGACTTCAAACTGCCAGAAATATGAGAATAGTCTGCAGAAGCTTCATTCTTAAAGTAGAGATGAAAGAAACCTGTTAGGTTGCCCAGTGTATTCCCTCACTGATTTTTTTTTTCCTACCATAAGTTCTCCTGTGCTTTATCCTCTCTGCTGTCAAATGCCTCCAGGGGAAAGACTATTTTCTTAAATCTTTTCTCTCATGAGAACTGACTAATGCATTCATTTTTCAGCATTAAAACTGAACAATGTATAAATGTTTTTATTAGCATAACTCTGACTTTTTAGTAAGCTAGCCTACTGAAGGAGGATGCTGTATCAGGCTCTGTAATGGAATATATTATATTTTAAAGTGTGATACATCAGGGAAAGGGAATGGAAAAAGATTTCCTAATGACTTTGCCATCTTCTGATCATTAGTATTTTTTCATGGTTATTACCAAGTCCATAACATTTAAACTGAAAAGTGGAAAATGAATTCCTAATATAAGTAGTTCATAAACACATCTGCAGGTTAACAATGCACATTGTGCAGATATTTCCTGTGTTTATCCTGATTCATGCAGCACATAGGAGGGATGTGTCAAAGGGAGGTCAATTTATGTAATTTTTTCCCTTTATAAATGTTGACTGCTGTGCAACTAATGATTTAATTCGCTAGCAAAATAAACTCTTTCCTGGCAAAAAAATAACAAAATAAAAAAATATTGAGCTTGACTAAATTCCTCCCTGATAAGTTCACTGCCTCTAACAAGGATAAAACAAGATGAATTTGATTCCTTTGGTGATGGCTGTTTTGACAAGCCTGTTCTGATCATTTTTTGCCATTGCAAAGGAAAAGCAATTTACTTAAAACAGATTAAATTACAACTGCTAGATTAAATTGAATTTTGTTGTCAAAGTGTAGCATTTATTCTTTGAAACAATTCACTAAGTAATGGGACCCAGTTTCATACTGTGATTGAGAATATCTGTACAATGATGATCAGACTGTGCTGTTTGTTTACAGATTCTGCTCAAGTCCAAATTTGTCCATTTAGCATCTAAAGTGACCCACAGAAAGCTCTGCAGTGAAGGTCTCTTTCTTTCCTATGGGAGTCAAACTGTGTGTCTACCAAGGGTAGGATACACTTAGAAAAGTAAAATCTTTCCTGGGTATCCTGTGGGAGTGCCCTGCAGTCTGGCTCTAAACTCCCCACTTGTCATCCCCAGCTACATGACTGCTCTGTGTTCCTCACTGCACTCTCAGCACCTCACGGAATGTTCTTCTTCCACTTCACCTGTGGCTGACCCCCAAATTATGACAAAACCCTGAACTTAAAGGAGTTATTCTATGTAGAGTGCTTTTTTCTTGCCTCTCTGTTCACATTCCCCAGTCCTTTTTGCGTCCTATTTTTGAAGCACAGGGGGAAACACAGATGGTGAGGATAACACGTAGAATAAAGTCGTTCTTCATGCATTAAATTTTCAATCACATGTTTACTGTATTTTTCTTAGCAAGTAGTAGTAGTATCTTTATTTCTTACATTTTAGTCAGGACTTCAGCCTTTTTTGTGACATTTAGCAATTTCACAAATGTGTTTAACCAGTGTGAATAGTTCTAAGAAGTCGTAATTGCAGTTGAATCACCTGTTTGGCAGGGTAAGTGTTACCTTCTGGATGGGAGCTCAGCCTTCTCTAGGCTCAGGGGCTGCTATTGGGATAAAGCCCTTGGTGTCTCTGGTCTGCAGGGGCTGAATTCTCTTAGTGTTCACTCAGTGACTGCACATCCATAACACAACTGGTGCAAGAGCCATTCCAAAGATACCAGTCAAGCTCTCCTGTTATTCCAACCAGAAGTCTGCATTATATTCTCCACATCATGGTTCCTCTGCTTTGTGACAAACAGAATGAGCACCTGTACCCATTTATACATTCAGTCTGTACTCATTTATACATTCATTTCAGGAGAGGAAATCCTTAAGAAAAGGAGGGTCCTAATCCATTGTGTATTTACCAAAATTCATGCTTTGAATGGCTGGCTGTCCAGCTGAACAGGTACTGGCTGCATGAGTCCCCAAGGAGAACCTGCTGCAAAGCATTTTGCAAAATTCTCTTTTTCTGGTGGAGATTTAGAACTGGGAGCAAAGGGCACAAATGTTTTGCTCTGAAGCTCCAGGTTTTGAATGTTTTACCTGATTCTCTGTGGTTGTGGATAGACATATCCCTTCCTTTGGTTTTGCCTTCCTTTCTGGGCCACTTGACATGATTTGTGTCTGAGCAGCCATACAATACCCCATTTGTGTGTGTCTTAAGTATTCACAATGCCTTCAAGCTGATTCCATGCAGGAGGAAACAATATTCAATCAATGTTCCTTCTGTGTCTTGGAGGAAATGAAGAATTTTAAGTATGATAATAGAACTTTGAGCAAAATGGCAAGTAATTGACAACATATTTTCATATATGAATGAGTTCTGTTAACTTCCTCATAATGAGAAAACCACTTAGAAAGAACACCATTCAGAGATATTTGTTCTAGATATACTGCAGCAAATATCAAGATAATATATGTAGAATTTTCTCACTCATAGTTTGTCTTGACTTGAAAGCATTCCACAAAACGTCTAAAATTTTGGCAGAGCCACTGAGTGTTGGCAGTAGCAATATTAAAGTAGACAGAGTAATGGACTGTATATTTTATTTAATAAAAGCAGTCAATTTAGCTTCTGTTCCTCTCCAGTAGTAAAAACATATGACCAATCTAAAGATAATAAATAATTTGAAGCTATCTTCTATCTTTAGGGAAGAAGAACCAAATTTATTGCCTCTGATTTCCTAACTGAGTGGTTATACAAGTAAGTTAATAATGGTTTTTACTATTAATTATACTCAATAATTCAAAGGCATTAATTTTCAAATCGAATAGCTGAAATTTAAATTAATATGAGTTGTTTTCCTTTTTGTTTTAGCATGAACCCAAAGAGGAAAGATGAACCATTCACAGAATTCTTTAGCATTCCTTTTGTTAAGGACTGGCTTAAGGACCAGTAAGTTATTGCAGTACTCACAGTAACCTTTTCTCCTTTTACCCCTGCCATTCCAAAAAAGTAATAGAGCTTCAACCTGTGCCCTCAAAATGCCCTTTACTGTGTGCAACACAGAACTATGTGATGCTTTCTAACTTGCTCATGTATGACTTACAAGGTATTTTGTACCAGAATTGTTCACAGAGAAATTAGTTTAGAATTCCTAGACATTTTAATTGTAGAGTGCAGGACATTTGAATAGTCTGGTAGTATGAATATCTTTGTACTAATGAGCAAAGCAGTGTTTTCATCACTGCTTCCTACTGTGGAAATCTTTGAGGATATTATCAAGAAATTATTCCTTTAGCTGTAGGCAGCTGTTTTAAAAATAACTGTAATAATCCTTGGTGTCAGGATGCATTTCTGCAGACATTTATGACTTTGTGTCTGAGAAATGAACGCTTGTTTTGGCAGCCTCAGTCATTTATTCCTGTAGAACCAAGCTGCATAGTGGTTTTGAAAGAAATGTTACTGTACTTGAGACTGCATGTAGTTTTAAAATATAGCTGCTGTGTGAGAAAAGTAAAGTCATAGTCCACAGTGACAGAATATGAAAATTACAGAGTTCAGATTTTAAACGTAATTGGAGTCCAGATTGGTAGTCATTGAAAACGTAGAGATCTGTCTTTGGGGCCAAGCTGGAGATTGTGTCAAAATGGTTAAATTTGACTACCCGAGAGGTGATCGTGTGTCAGAGTCCTGTAGGAAGTTTCTGCAGTAAGAGATGAACACCTTTGCAGAATGACCCATTTCATCTCAACCCCCATACCTTCAGATACCACCCACTGTTGTTGGAACCTACCACTGGTGGGACACATCTGTCTCCTTGTCCAACAAGGCCACAAGTTCCTGGCAACAAGGTTCCCATTTAAGGCAGTGAATTCTGTCCTTTGGAAGGTGGCCATGAACTGCAGCGAGGTTGTCCTACTCATTTCTTAAGCATACTGAAGAACTGGCCCTTAGTAAGGCAGTTTGGACACCCCTGATATGTGAGGATGGATATTTGTCCCTAAGATGTCCAAGGTCACAGTTTTACAAACGTTTCTCTTGGAAGTAAAGCTGACTGAAATGGTTCCCTGCTCTCTCCTGTTCTTCATCCCAACCTGTTGTAGGCAACCTGATATCACCTTGTCTGTTTGATAAGGTGCTTGGTTATTCTGATCAGGGACTTACTCTGAGTTAGGAATCTCTCTGCCAAAATGTGTGAGGAGGGTTTGTATAGCTATTTAAAACACAGATAATTTCTCCAATCTGCTTCACCTTGGAGAGTGACAAACCTGTGTATTGGCACAAACAAAGGATTAGAATGAAGGGCTTGGGGCAAGGTGAAGAGAACAAATGAGCTGCTAAGATGTAGAGGTGGTGGCAGGAATTGCTTAAGTCAGCTTTGCCAAGAGAAATACACTGTGGAATCACAGCCTGAATGACTCATAGCTTCTGTTAGTACTGGTGCTCCTAAATAATGTAGTGACAGCTCCACAAGGACACTGAAGTGTCAAAGTCCTACTTAAGTTGATACACTTGGTCTTAAATCCTCTAAACAAGTAGGCCCTTAAAATAATAATTATTAAAATTATTATTAAATAGGAACTTTTTGTGGACTACCCTTAAAATTACAGATTAAACAAATACTGCTTACGAAGAAAGCATTATTAGAGCAAAGTGAAAGACTTCAGTATTAAATACGGATAAAAATGAGAGAATTTATTATTATGTCCTTCTGGATATGTCCTAAATAGTTTATGATTATATCCTTCCAAATATCAGACTTAAAATGTAACTGATTATTGTCATCTCCATTTCTATTTTTAAAGGAGTTTTCAGTTTTTCAACAGGATTAAGAATATACAAGAGACAATATGCTAAAAAGTGCTGGTCAAATTTTGATGGGAAACATCCTTATACCAACTGTTTAGATAGGTTTATCAGTGCAAAGCAGTCTTAATGCTTGAAAAAAACCCAAAACAACAAAACCCACCAAAACAAAAAAAACCCAGAGGGATAATTTTTTGTTCTATAAGAGATCCAGCTTTTTTTAATATATTCCATATTTGAGTATGACTTTTTTGGCTCTCCTCCAGTGCCTCCAGTTTCTTCTTTGAAGCTCAATTCTTTTTTAAAGAATAGTGAAAGCCACAGTCTTATGAGCCTCATTCTCTTAAGTTGTGCTTCTAAATGAGATCTTGCAGCCTACTTTTCCTTTATAAGGAGACCTAAATACTGCATTGGTTCCCAGAATTTTAAATGCAAATGTTGTACCTTCTAAAGCTGGTTATTGTAGGTGAAGAAGCTTGTAGAATTTGAATTTATTTCCAGCTTTAGTGTTTATAGCAATTGCTATGACATCAATAAATAAAACTTCAGTACAGTTACCTTGTCTTCTTCTGGGTTCTCTGTTACCAGTAGCACTGGCAAAATATTATATCCCTTGGGAATCTTCAATTCCCGAAGCAGATTTCAAAGCAATAGAAGGAACAGCCTCAACACTGACTGGTAACCTACATATCCCAGCCAGGAGAACACAAAACGTTTCTGTTGCCCTAAAGCACAGCTGCACCTTTCAGAGGGCAGGAAACTGGAGTTGGAACAAGGGACCAACCCAAGTGTTTGGGAACTTGCTGAGATACCGACTGATGTACCTGTTCCTACACTGAGGGCTGCTGAGAGAACCAAGGAAATGGAATTAGAGCTGTGCATGTTTTGTACTCCTATAAATATGGTAATGAGCAACACGGTTCCCTTTTGTCAGCATTTTCCGGTGGTGTTTCTGGCTGAAGAGCAGTGAAGCTCAATCACAAGTAACCAAGCTCTGTGTACTGAATCAGGGACGGGGAAAGAGAGGGAGCTCTGTTTATGCTCTGATCCCCCTGCAATTTTACTTTTCTGGCAGAGGTAGTCTGAGTATCACGGCAGTGTCATTGCACAACCTTCTTTAGCATATTAATGAAAGAAACATGAAGAAACCAATAAAAAAATAGTTCCACTGCTCTGAAAAACAGGTATAAAAGTCTGTCACATTAATTTAATAATATTGACAGCATTGTTCAAGTTCACTTTTGACCCATACATTCGATGAGAGAGGGTGACATATGGATCTAGGTTAAGAATAAGCATAAGTATTTTCCTGGCTGTTGAAGGTCAGATAAAAAGTAATTCACAAGATTTTTTTAATCTGCATTTTCTCTCTTTTTTTTTTTTTTAATAAGAGGTATTTACTTGCTACTCAGTTCAGAAAGACACATTTCCAGGTTAAATCTATCTGTGTGTACCAAAACAAGTGTGCAGATACAGAGCAACTAAATTTATCATGGCTTTAGTGAAGTGGGCAGCTAAGATATATATGTCTCTAAATGATTACGAAATCTGAAGTAGTGGCTTTTTGTCTCAAATATCTGCATATGCATATACATACATTGATTATTTTATTCTTCCTCCTCCAAATATTTTAATTAGATGAAGTCTGCTGGTCTCAGCTGCCTTTACAGTTGACTTCATTGTCAGTTCTCAGATGGCCAATAGGGGTAATTTTGCACGGGTGACTGATTTTTTTTCTTTCCATAATATGCCCAGTTTCTACAGGCTTTGCTTTCTGCATTCTGCTATATTTCATTGGGTTATCTCTAAAACAACCATGTTTGGAGTATATTTGGTTTGCATTATGTTTTTTTCTTTCATTTTCCTTAATAACAATAATAATTTCTTTAATATTTCTGGGGGCAGGGACAGCTGATTTATTTGTAGTAATAGACAAGTCCAACAAATACATCTGTATGGGTGTTATTCTATGTGTTTCCAAGTAAAAAATTGGCATTCCAGTGCTGTGGCAGAATTCAAGTTAACATAGGAGAAATTTTTTACTTAAAAACTGTGTGTTGAAAAATTGCACAAAGTTTCTGTATGAAATATTTATATTTTTTAATGGTGCTTTATGGAGTTGAAGGTTTCATGGAATAATTCCCGATGCCTTGTTGAAACGTGCCTTAATTTATGTAAAGATTGTCAAAATGGCAATTGAAAATGTCTCAGTGCTTTGTGACATTCTCTGAATGTTGCTTTAGAACACTAAGAGGAGGATATTTTTGCTGCTGTTAGTTTTTCATGTTTTCAGGATATGAAGTTTGATCTGAAGTACACAAACAGAGATGGAAATTTTCCCATTGACATGAGTGGCCTTTGGAATAGGTCCATGTTTAATTTCCTTCAGTCCAGGACCAAGAACACTCTTACAAACTACATAAACATTGGTCCTACAAGACAGAAAACGTGAGGTGACACATTGTGACTTTCAAAACATGTAGTGAGTATGCAAGCACAGGAGAGCTGAGTTTTAGCATTAAAATGGTAAGTCCTCCTCAAGGAGAGACCATACCAAGAGGCAAGAAAGCCACTATAATTTCCAGACAGAGCTTGAGACAAAAGATTCTTGCACTGCTATTTTTTGGCTTGTTCTCACTACTAAGACTTCTTGCTGTGCTTCCTCTAATTCCTCTCACATTCTTGTTGCCAGTCACCTGTTCTGCCTCAGCCTCCTGTCCATTACATGACTCTGCCTCCCCACGGAATGACTTTCTCACATTAGTTCCGCACTGTCTTTTCTTTTTGTCATGTCTTTTCTTCATTATAAATAGATAAGTAAGTATATAAATAGTTTGTATGTGTTAACAGTTGAATGCATATTGTGACTGTGGCCACTTTGATAATACTCTCGAATGGATTTAATATATTTTTTAATTCTTCAATTAGTTATTATCAGTATCGAGGAGCTTTTATTTGGAGAAGGTGATAGAGCAGAAGAGTTCAGATTCCTGATAACTAGCAGGAGTCACACTTTAAAAAGTCTACTCATATGCAATCTCTCTTTAAAAGAGATTAAATTTGGTTATTCCCACATTTACAACCCTTCAAAAATGTACCCTCCATATAATGCACTAAAATGTTTTCTTTTATACTGTAGGGATTTTTTTCTTCGAATACTAATAATCTTGTTCTGGTGAATTTAGATTGCTGCAAAAGCAAACCAGTAATTTCTTTCTGACTGTGGAATAGTTGTATTAATACTGAAAATGTTACAAAGAAAGGTCTCAGTTCACACTCAGTTTGACCTGTGAAAATGCTCCAGGGTATTTTTGTCAAGTGTCTGTGGGGAATATTTCCCTGTAAACCTGTGAGACTCATACAGTGCAAGTGTAATATTTAATTAATATATCTAATTGATTTTAAATACTAGGTCAGATAAATCTGTATTTCAGTGTCTGATTGCTTATGAACAATCTTTTTCCTGCTTTTTGGGTAAATGACCTTAATAGTATTTATAAGCAGAGATTGTTGAGACATTTATTTTGAATCAAAACAATAGTTTTTCATTGTTGCACACTTTTGCAACTCTGGATAGGCGTGTAAGAAGAAAGACTTAATGAAGGCAGGTGTTGCTGTAGTATTGCTAGAACATCTGAGTAAGAATAAGAAATACTGAAAATATAAAAGAGAACTACTTTGACAAAATTCCAGAGCAGTTTTTTTGTTATTCAGACCAGCATGTGAATTTTCGGAGTAGTTCCCAGACCAAAGACTTTCTCAAAACCCCCTTTTTTTAAAGAGTTATGCAGATCACCAGGGTCATTTACTTGCATGTCTAATATTTATCCCAATTCTTTGGCCTGTTCTTTTAGATTACGAATTTTGCAGTGACTCTGTCATTGCCTGTGTTCATACATGATATAAATGTTAAGAACAATAACCATCACAGTCAAACCAAAGGTGAAGTGACTGTGGCTGTTTAATATGGCTGTGACTGTCGTACTGAAACTTAGGAGGCCTGAACCTTTTCCTTAGGGTTGCTTCAGTGTTTCTAGAAATGAGCTTTCTGAAGCAGAGAGAAGCCCTGATCATTCAGTGACTGCCCCTGGATTTCCACTCTCACCTGCACACCATGAGCCCCAGGCACTGATGCTCTCTGTGGCACAGTGGTCCTACAGGCTGTAAGGCTGATAGTTAAATTTCTTTGTCTGTTACTATTAGGGAACAGATTGGAATAAAAAGAACAATTACAAAATCCTGAATTATATATACTGAAAATTTTCTTGATTAAATTTTTTCTTAGATTTCTTGTCATGGAAGGAATCAGGCCTATTTGTATGACAGATTGGGGACTTAGAGACAATTGGGGTTTCTGGGCATTACTGTGTAGAAATACTGACTGTATTCAGTCCATCAATGTGACTGTGAACCCCCAGAGGTTACCTCATACATTTATTTAATGCAAGTCTGTTTTGTATCCTCTGGGTGCCACATTCCACTTGCATAATTTTATATCACATAATCAAGATCTGTACAAGTTTGCTCAGAACGCAAGAAACTTGTTTCTGGAATTTAACTTTCCTCTGGGCAGTGTCTGCTTTATTCAGATTTGGTAAAATAAAATACTTAAGAAAAATAATTTTACCGATGCTCTTTTATGGGTGCAACTTACATTAAACAAGGTGTATGTGTCACAATAGATATTGATATGTTTAATGTGTGGGCTTTTAAGATCATGCATAATCAAAGACTAAATAAGCAGAATATAGTTAGTGTACATTGTACTATCAGCTCTAATCTTCTCAGAGGCATACAGCTGTCTTCTGCCACGAATGACATACTCTCTCTTTTCCTAGTTCACTGCTGAGGGGTAATTGCCTCTGCTCAGATTCTATTTTTATTTGACCCGCAGCCAATTGCGTATTTTCTCTCCGACAAAACTGGACCTGGCATGGCTTCTCTTCTTTAAAGCTGTGCCATTAAAGGATTGATACTTACCAGTGACTGTCATACTGAAAATTAAGTCCTGTTCTTGCTTGATTTTTTATATTGGTTTCTGAATTTCAGTGTTGGATTATAAACTAGACATTTTTATAATTTGAAAATGAAAGGAAAGAAATGCTCGAGTTGCCCTTGCAGGCTAGGAGAAATCTCAAGTTGTTCTTTGGAGATGTACTCATTCTCAGAGAAGTTCAATGGCTTTGATATAACTGCTGTAAAATATGTAGGTCTTCCTGTGATTTTCCCACTCTAAGTTTTGGGTTTCAAAAAGATCAAAAATAGAACAGAGGATGAAAGCCTATCAGGGAAACCAGCACAGTTCAACTTCAGAACTTTAAGTCTGATTATAAGAAGCCGTTAGCTCAGGGAGCCTTGCTTGTCCAGCACTTATGATTTCCCCTGAGCAGGAGAAATACTAATTAACATTCACAGGGCTAAGACTGGTTAGCTTAATGGAGAGACCACTCTTTATTTTTGTCTTATTTCCATTTTTCCAAACAGACCAAGGTTTTATTTCACATTAAAATAAATGTAGGCCAAAACCCAGCTGACATAATGATGAGACCAATTTAGCTGAGTACACAGACTAAAACGGTGCAGCCAGTGTAGCATTAGATAAGAGGTAAGATTGTGCTCTAAGTTGAAATGCTCCTGCAGTGAAGACAAGCCCTAAGAGAAAGATGTCAGAGAGCATAGGAAGCTTACTAGGGCAGAGACTAATATGAATGAAATTAAGTGAAAGGAAAATGTAAGCTGTCAAGCCTATTAGCTTGAGCTGTAATATACTGTAAAATAAATTTCCAAAGGAAATTGCTGCATTTTAACCAGCAAATGTAACACTGCATAAATAAATAGCTGGTCAATTAATGGGCTTTGCAGTATATGTGTCTTTAGAGTATAAATACCATAGATAATGTTCTTGCATGGGCTGCATGTGTCTATAGGTGGTTGCTGCATCAACATTCATAATGTGGGTTTCTACTCAAGGCTGTGTTCAGCCTGTTTCCCATGTAGGGAAATATGTTTATATTCTGTGTATTTAATATAATAAACATTTACATCATAAGTCTGTTAATTGTTGCATGCAGACTAAAACCTCCTCTGCTTCACAAATGGCACGCTCCTTCTCTTGTTCCCCTCCTACTGCCACCTCAAACCTTACCATAATAGTGGGAATTTGAAATCCCTGTAAAAGAATAAGAAAGATTATTGTGCTTGATGTGCCATTTGTATATTTTTGTTTTAAGAAGAAATTATTGCAGTGTATATAACAGTATATTTGTAAAGGAGATATTCTTTGAACATTTTATTTTCAGGGCAATAAGAAATTGTACCTTTCAAGCTCCTAAACAGCATTTATCTTTTTGATAAAATACACTGTTAGGGAAGAAAGTATTTTACATTTATAGGCTGTCTGTTTACAAAAAGATATTTTCTTTTAAGTCCTAGGCCACCAATTCCTCTATCTCTGCTTCTATCAGAAGAAGAAGCAAGCATAATAATTCAGTCCTTCTGGAGAGGTTATCGGGTAAGAGTAATCTATAATTATTTTGCTTGATGTTGAAAACTGTAGGACTGTGAAGGCTCCAGGGAAAATCCTTACATAAATTTTAAGTAGGGGATACTATAAATAGCTGCTGAGACCCCTATGGTTCATTGGCTTTGGATGTTGCTCTGCCTTATGCCTAGTGACTACAGTTTTTTCACAGGCATTTATGCTGATGTAATCTCAGTGTTTTCCTCAACAACAGAAAATCCACAGAAATTGGATTTTCAAAAGTACGATTCACAGTGAACCATTTTCTCTTTTAAATTTAAAGTTGCTCTGGCTAGTTGCTAAAGGATGGAATCTTATTTTGCTTCATGCAGGGATATGTGAGTGAGTGAGGGTAGAGATGCACATGGAGGATTGGTGAGGTCTGTATGTTCTGTCTGAGCATACAGGAACAAAAAAATGAGACCAAGAATGAGACAGGAGATCTAGGAGAGGCATGAAGGCTTTTATTCCAGGAAAGGGAAAACAAAATGGTGAGCAGATGTTGTAAGACACACTAGTAATACAACACTAATGCAATCCCCAGTTTAAGGGGGGAAAGCAAGGAGCATAAAATAAATACAAAGAAAATTGTCCGATATTATTATTTTGGAGGGTAACAGCCATGCTAACCCTAGGATGCTAAATGAATTATTTTGACAATCCTGAACAAATTCTGTGAATTTTTTTTTTAAAAAAGCTTCATGCCTTGGAAAGAAATGCACTTGAAATTCAGGTGACTTTGGTGATGAAGAAATGTCTTTGCTTCCTTTGTCAAAATTTAACCTTCTAAATAGCCCCCAGATATAGCAGCAATTTTGTTGTGATGGACAGTGAGACATTTCTGGATGTCAGGTGTTCTTTAAATAACAGTTAGTATAAAACACTCTCTGGTAAGTTCTTTTTTACTGTTTTTAACAAGCACAAATATATAAGTGGCTCCTATAATGTGCTGTGCAGCCAAAGACGATGAAATACCCCAAAATGGTCTTGACTGATTGATTTTTGCGGCGCTTTCTGTTGTTCGTTTTCCTTTGTTTTTCTTTTTTAAACAGAGATGGCATTGACACTAACATTAATTAGGCCAGACAGTATCCCTGCAGGCATCCTTACAGAGGAGTATTGCAAAGGCAACCATTATCCAATAACAGTCATGTTTGCTGAACAGTGCAAGGTTGCTCAGATACTTTGTGCTTCTATAAAAGCTTGTGAAGGGCACGATTCTCCCTTGCTGTACAGATTAACTTCAGAATTTTCACACTAGTATCATTCTAAACCAGTTCCCAGAAATGAGAGAGAAACCCTAGCTGTAAAAGGTAGGGGACATAAAAAATAACTCAGACTATAAAATTAGCTGTTAATGTTTTTCTTATTCGAGATGAAAGAAATCAGGCTTTTAAAAATCAAAAATTAAAGTCAGAATGTGAAATAAAAATCATTAATAACAAGTTCCTACACAGGGCAATGTGTTGTCCTTGGACTTTCAAATTAAGAGAACACTAAGCTTAAATGGGATTTCATTGCATTAATGATAAAGTATGTTATGAAAATTTACCAAAGAATTCAGATTATTTACTTTTAAAATAGATAGCTCTGTCAGCTAACACTGATTTAGTGTGGTAATAAATGAACACTTACAAATAATGCCCTTTTGCATTCTATGGATATTATTGTGTCAATATTTGAAAAACTTTTCTGATGTTTTTCATTAAACCTTGTTTTATAATTCAGAGAATTTAGAACTTTTAAACACTGTTATTGAAACAAAAATGTACACGGTGTGTTAATATTGAATAATTAAACACAAGCACACATAGATACTTTACATGGCTCTGTGCCAAAGAGAGTGCACTTCATCACTGGTTTTCTAAGACATGTCTTCTATGGACTCAGACCACCTCTGAGGTATTTTGTTAACCGTACTGATTTAGGCAGTAGAGTTTGTCTAGTTATAAAACTGACTGAGCATCATGTCTTCTCATGATACTTCACTTGTTTCTGCCACATCTAGTTGTCTGAGTGTGCCAGTATCAAAAACATGTAGCAAAAAATGCAACAATGGATCAGGGGTTTTTTATGTAAAGGTAAAATAAAACTATAGGTACAGAATATTGAGAACTTTTCCATAATAAACCGTGATCAAAGCAGTACATTCATCATTATCTGCAGCACATTTCAGAAAAACACTTGTTTTGGTAGTAATAATTGATGGCTGCCATCAACAAAGTGCTTGCTACAATCCTTCATGCAAAGACATTGATGGGTACTCTGAAAATTATTTCAAGTTCAGTCAAGAACTAAATTCCAGAACAAAAAGCAGTGGGAGCTACAACTGCTGAGTTTTGTAAGGAGATCACAGAAAGGAAGATGTCATCTTGAGTGGGCTCTTTGAGGGCAAGGAGGAGCACTCAGAGAAGACTTGAGACAGCTCTGTCATCAGAATTCTTTCTCTTCACTTTCCATCATTCTTTTTTATTGAGGTTCCATTCATCTGTCACGGGCCAAGGCAGTATTTAGATAGGTATCAATTTTCCAGGCACTTTCCCAGTAAAAGATGATATATTCCTTCACCCCTCTACTGCAGAATCTTTGCTTAGTGCCATTTTTTAATAGGGTCTTTTTAAACTTTACAATTTGCAGAACTATTGGACTGAGGGGATTTTTCATTAAAACAATTTCCTCTGATGTCTCTGGGTGAAGTTTTGGTATTTTCCTTCTGCTGTTGTGCAACGTGTTCTCACTTAGCATTGAAAGAAGTTTATTTTGACTAAATCTTGTATATTTTTCTTAGAGTTGAAATTGGACAGCATTATGTAAATATTCAGCGCTATTTTATGAGTGTTGTTTGAGCAAAAGTTAAACCTGCTTCAGTTTTGATTTGTCTCTTGCAAAGTGCAGTCCTGCTTTTGCTATCACAACTTTTATTACTTTCCAGCAAGTTGTGGCTCCTCGGAAAGGCTCAATCCCAGAAGGTCACACGAATATTCCCTGTTATTTACAGCAAGTGTAGATTCAACTCAAGTGACCTGGGTGGGAGTGAACTCTCACTTCAAAGCTCAGACCCCTCCAGGGCTGCAGGCGTGGTTGGGCTGCAGGAGGGACACCAGACTCTGCACTGTTTATTTGCCTGGAGATTTTGCTGCTGAGTCATGGCTTTTCCATCATGGTGGAACTGCACTCTGGTTACAAAACAGACTGCTTTCTGAGGAATTATCACAACTATGCTAAACTCTAATCTATTAAGCATATCTGGAACATTTTGATGTATTTTGTTACATTCCTGTTACCTGTTTTACTGCAGATGGCATATCTGTGTTTTGTTTGGGGGTTTTTTTCTTTTTTTTTATTTACTTTTTAGAAAAGACACTTTGTTCTGGGAGCTCATTTTCACTGCTTGGATTTAGTGTTGGACTTTGAAGTATTTGAGTCTATATGACTATGCCTTCATCTCAGAACACTGTATTTCACTATGTTTCACTGCACTTTCACTGTTTTATTTGTCTAGGGAGAGTATACAGAATATACTCCATTTGCCATTTATCTTTTAACTGGTAAGAGTTATTGTCTTCATTTGCAGTATACAGAGACCACTGTGGCCCTGGCATGGGACAAAATACAGGTCACACAGCTGAAGTTGTAGAAGGGACACATTTTTTCAGAAATTCTATAGGTATAGAGGTAGTAATTTCTCTAATTTCCTGCCTCTTCCATTGCTGTCATTTATATGCTTGAATCCCAATAAGCATTCCCTGAACCCCTACATGTGCAGATAAACTGACTCCATGTAATGGGGAATTATTTGGCTTATAAAACATAAATGACAACCTAAAAGAAAAAATGTCTTTTGCAAACCTGAAGTATCCTTATATTTTATTTTTGTAAATAGTACTTGATGAATTCAACAGAAAATGATCTTATTTTTTTGTATAGCTGAAAAGAAGATCACTAATAACTGTAACTTCCTTCATTTTTAAAAGTTCGTACCAACCTTGTAAGAAATTCTTATTACTTTTATAGAAGATTTTACAGAACTATATCAGTATAATGGGATGTTATTAGAGGCCTAAGAGGTATCTGATGTCGAGTCACTGAGTAAAAGTCTTGGCTGTCTTTATTGATCGAGTCACCTTGTATTGTATTTCTGCTCTGCCAGTGCACTGTCTGAAATATAACAAGTTATCTTCTCCTGAGTGGATTGAAGAGTGCTATGGGAGTTCAGCTACTGTCTATTGCACTCTTAGCTGCACCACAAAGGAGAAATTCTGGGTAGAAAGAATACTTTTGATAAATAATTTATATTGTTTTCTTTAAGGTTTGGGTTTTTTTATAACCAGTGGGAAACGGAAGTCCTGCTCTTTTGCTCTGTATGTGTCTTAGTAAAGTGAGAGAAAAGCAGAGTGTAATGGAGAAGAGTACTAGAGTTCAAATCACAGAGCAAACTCACTACTATATCATGTAAGAATAAAATAAACTGAAATTTATTTAGAGATTTTCTAGAGAACTAAGTAGTCATCTTCCTGCAAGAAAAAGGTGTCCAGGAGAAATTGAGGTTATTGCTACTTGTTTCTACCATGTTATTCAACTTCAGCCCAAATTACCAGGACATTAAGTCATAGAATCATAGAGTGCTTTGGGTTGGAAGGGACCTTAGAGATCATCTAGTTCCAAACCCCTACCATGGGCAGGGACACCTTCCACCTGACCCATGGTCAGAGCCCCATCCAACTTGGCCTTGAACACCTCCAGGAATGGGGCATCCACAGCTTCTCTAAACATAGTCCTAAAGCATAATGACATTTTTTATATGTAATATTTAGGGAAAAAAAACCCAACCTAAACCAGAAACTGCATTTTAGAAATAATTCTACTACCATTTCAATATGACTCTAAGGGAATAGTCTCTAAGGTAATACTGGCATGTCCCCTTCCTACTGTTGTTCAGAAGGACAGTATCTGGTGCACTGGAGGTAGTAATTGTGTGAATGCCAAGGTAGGCAATGGGCAACCCACTGCTAATTAATCAAATCCTGCTTACAACAAGTTTAAGTAGCAGAGTGGTAGAAGTTGGTGATGCAGAGCTGGCTGGCTTTTATGTTAGAAAGAACTACACCAGTACAAAAACAATACTAGAAAAATTCAACTTAAATCTAAATGGAATCAAGGCCTATGACTATTGTAATTTTTTTGTAGAAGCAGAATTATGGCCTTCATGGGGTGATTGACTGACAAAGAATAGATATCACATAATGCAGTCCAATTACTTTAAATAACAGATTAATGACTCTCCTGTTTGTGAAAATTGTATGGCTGGGATTGCCAGTCAGCCTATTTGCAGCTGATGGCAGGTGTGAATCAGTTTGCTGGAATAAATTCCCTTCTGTATGACCCTTCATGCTCCTCTTGTGCTCTATTATGTTGGTCACTGGGTTGGTTTTATAGTGTTGTGGTTTTCTAAAGGCACTAATACCCTTCAGCATAATGCCTGAAATTTTAATTAACTCAAAGAATAAGCGTCTCACTGCAATCACATTTCTCAGGAGTCCTTGGTAATCAAAGTGATCCCCTAATTGGCATATTTATGTTTTCAATGGGGTTTGTCAATGATGTGTTTTTTATTTCTCTGTAAGTTGAAAACTGTAAACCTCTGGGATTTTTCTTTTACCTCGGGCCCAGCAAATAGGATGGCTCTCATGTATTTGTCCAGCCACAGCCCCATGAAAAAAAATTGTATCATCATCTTGGGTAACATGTAGGTATATAATTTTAGTTGTATTTTCTGTTTTCCCTTTCACAGGTCCGGTGTGACAGTGAAATACAAGAGCTACGTCAGTGGCAAAAGAAGTGGAGAGAGGAGAAACACATTAATAAAGTAGTGAAACAATTCTGGACTAAGCAGGAAACCAAAGGTAAGTGAATTAAATTGTGTGTGTGGGTTTTTTGGGTTTTAGGGGTTGTTTGTTTGTTTGTTTAGGGTTTTTTTACATTGTGTTAAATTTTTATACTTTGAGTTGTGCTAAAAAACAGGCCACAGTAGGACGCTAATCCCGAGTGAGAAGGTGAAGTCTGGTGGAAATGCCTGGCTGTTCCTTTATAGTCATTATTTACTCTGTCTTAGTTGCCTGGATAGTTGCTGAAAGTGGCAATGAAAAATACAGTACAGGGCCAAAACTCAGTAATTTCAGAAGACTGACAATTTGCTGGCACAGTATTTCATAGGGCAGGATTAGACCTCTACCAGGTGGGTCATAGTACAGTTTTTCCAAACTGTGGGATTTCTCTCTGGTAAATGTTTTATTGGCATTTTCCTGTAGTTATTTATAGCAGAACTTGGCCTGTACAGTTCTAAAAAAATAAACCCAAATAACCCAATAAATTGCCAAGGGAAATGAAGCTGGATTGCTTTAAGAACCAACACTGTAATTTGTTTCTTTTTTTGCCCTGTTTGTGGACAAGGCTTTACTGACAGGGCCAAAGTTCTATTCACTTAGGCACAGAGGTTTAATTATGATTATTCACCCAGCCTCTTTGTCTACTAACTCAGGAAAATTTATAAGTTCCTCAACCTGTCTACATTTTAGCAGCCTCTGTGGGCTGGACTCAGCCCTGATACACGTGGGGAAGTGAACTCCACACCCACAGCTGGAAGTGAGAAGGGGTCGTTCAGCTGTGGCTGTGTTGAAAAGAGGGGAAATCATGTTGTACCAGCACCACTGTGTGCCCTTCAGTTTGGTGACTCTGTCCCAGATGTGTTCTCAGCTGGCCAATCTTTGCCCTGACCTACGGGAGAGTGATTTTTAATTTGGTGGTAGCAGGGTTACAGTTACAAGGGCTGCGTAGATTTTGCAAGCATTTATTTATATTTATATTGCAGTTTTAATCTACAAAAGATCAGGTTTTATTTACCAATCCATGAAATTTCCTAAGGGATATTTTATAGCTGAATTTAATTCATTCTGAAGAACAAAATCATACATCACAACAGGGGAAAACTGCGTTGATATGTGTGTATATATGAGGTGTATATAAGGGAAGTAGAATTCTTGGCTTTAATAGCTTAGACCTAGAAGATTAAATCATATAGTAACTAGTAACAGTGTACAAAAATGATGAAAAAATGAAATCAATGAGACATAAGTTGTCTTCCAGCAGACTTGACTAATATGTAATGAAAACTTGGGCAGAGCAACCAAAGTTTTCTTCAAGTGGGATTTCATAGCCTATCTACTATGGTTTATTATGACTTTACTTTGGAAAAAAAATGTAGGCATCTTTTCCTTTAAAAGAAAACATAGATATATCTGGTTTTGATCATCTGAAAACAGTGGATTCAAATGTACTATGATCAAATTATTCTCATTATAGATTTAAAACATAAAAGCTTAATTCTTTCCTTTGTAGTACATTTTCAGTTCCGTCAGTGTTAATTGTTGGAAAATTGCATTCCTGGAGGTGATAACAGAAGATGGCCTACCAGGCTTGCTAATTAATTTTAAATTATTGCAATTTAGTGTTTGTGGTTTAGACTTTCTGTTTCTAATTTGTTAGTATTTTTATCATCTCATCAAGGCATGTTTTTTCACACATTTCATTGTCCATGATACCAGTAAGAGTTACAAATGCACATTTCCCACATCTAAGAAACAAACCTATATATTCACAACACACCACAATGAAAAAGGATGAATATGATATTAGATGATATGATGACAATCACAGTTTCAGTCTTCATACATGTAAAATCTTAAAGGTGAAAATTACAAGTGCATTTTCAGAGCACAAGATAAAACCATTTTCAAAATGCTGCCTAAGAAAAGTAGGGCCTAAGGGTGGACTGTGTCATTTGGCAGTTGAATTGATTAAAAAAATTCCTGTGAATAAAGAAATTTAATCTTTCCATAAACTGTACTTAAGTTGTTTTGGAGAACTGTAGTGATAAGATTTCCTTTGCCTTCCTTGCCAGTTGTTTCAAAAGGAAAATCTTCTTTAATCACTCTCATAGAGCTTTCTTGTCATCAAATCAATTATTTCAGACTCTAGGACACACAGCTGTTTAACCACTTCAAAGTTGCAAAATTGCCCCTTTTCAATTTTTTCTTAAACCACTGTAAGTTTATATTGCTTATAAACATTAGCTTTCAATATTATCACTTTGTTTCTGTGATTCTTTAACTGAGCTCTGCTAAGTTAATTTAAGAGTATCCATACATAAAATAGCCTTGGGGCCCAGACAGATGGCCATTTGGAAACAGCTGTACTAGTTTGAGAAGTTACTGTCCAGGGGTTTTCATTATCAATCTCAGCTGTGATGCCATAATTAATTTTGTTAGTGCTCCAGCTGCTCTTATTTCTGCTGTTATTGTCCTACTGTTCATTAATGCTGTTAAACCCTATTTCATTATGAAGTCAGCAAGGTTAGTTTAACTGCTTTCACCAGTGACTCAGTCTTACCCAGCTGACTGCACTGAAGAGGATTGTGAGCACTCATACAATAATGAATAGCATAACACAACTACTTCTTAACCTTGTCTTTCTAAGCATTTGGTTTAACTGAATTAATTAATTAGGTTAATTCAATTAATCCCCTTTAATTAAACGACTGAGCTCTTTGCATCAAGCAGACAAAGCATTTATTGTTACTAAAAACTCAGATGTCACAAATAAAGCATTAACATTCATGATCAAAAGAAAAAGAATAACACTTTTAAATAGATACGGCATTTTATTATGAAGTTAACCACATTAAGAAAAATAATGAAGTATCTCTTAAATTTCTCTCTCACTAAGCCTGTTTATTAGATGCTGTAAACAGTGTTGAATCTAACTGTAGGGGATGAATGGTGAGTTGCCAAATAGCTTTTAGAAAATGATGACTCGAGCAGTAATGTGATTCTATTGACACTACTAGAAAGATCAGCATACCTTCCATGGAAATATCAGCCAAAGACTCGGTTAATGTGAGCTAACAGGCAGAGTCTGCTTTGTTGTGGCTTTCAGCACAATGCAATGTGTACCTTATTTCAAGGGTATGTTCTAGGCAAAGACATACAGCTTTATGAAAGTGTGTTTGTATGTTGACCAGTGTGACAGTTAAAAAAGATAATAATAAGAAGTTAGAAATGTAAACTAATTGTAATTAACAAATCCAAAGGCATTCTTAATTTATTTTTCTGGTTTCAGAAAGTGTGCTGAAACATGTTCATTAATTTTGAAGCAAAGAGTTAAGTTTTCATTAGAACATAACCAGAATGAAACACTTCTGGAGGGTTTTTTTCAGGTAAAGACCAAAAGTCTCATTTTTAGGGGGCAGCTAAGGTGATCCAGTAACTTCCCCATTAAAAAGGCAGCCCTTGGCCAAGGCTTCTGCCATCCTCTCCTTTTCTTGGCACTTCCCCTCCTGGCTTCACGGTGAGTTGGTTCAGCTGGCTGATCTGACAGAGCTCCTCAGTTCTGCTCCGCTGCCCCTCGGCGTGGCTTTGTGCTGGATCAGCCTGATAAACTGACCTGCCCCGGAATGGCACAATCCTCACATCCAACAAAGGGAAATGGTGCCACAGTAACTGAGGGAAGGAAAGCTGCCCGTTTGTGATGGCCACTCACTTTTAGATCAGCTAATCTGTGCTGGGCCTGCTGTGTCATGTGAAACCATCCCCACCCGGTGTGTCTGCGTGGGGTGGGAGGCTGGGGTATAATGTAGCCTCACATAAGCCACTGATCTCCCCCTGCTTCAAAGCATTTTCATTTTTTTTCCTTTGTAATTCTTTATTCTTCTTTTGCTCTCTCTCTTATACTCTTTATTATTACTTTTGAAAAGTGCTCTGGGATAGAAAGTGTGAAAACTGCATGAAAATTACTTTATACATTAATAGCACCTTGCAGGACCGTTGACCTCTTTTAATGCACATGCTGGCAAAATTTCTTTTTGAGTGCAAAGAAGAAAGTGTGTTTCTTTCAGCATATATCCAAGATCATAAAGCTACAGCATTCTTGGCTGACATTTTGTTTGCTATACTGCTCCACTGCTGCAACGTTACATTCCACAAAATTATCTATATTTAAAGTATGATAGTCCTTACTCTGAACAATTTCTACAATTTCTACGTTCAGACTGAAAATGTAGAAAGAAACATAGCATTTAAGACTTAGTTTAGTGGCTCACAGCTTTAGACTTGTAGGGAGACAGATTATTTTCTGCAATATAGCACAGCTGATGGGATACATTTGTTTAAGAATATTTTACAGAATTCCAGAAAAAATATTACCTTCTAGAGAAAATACAGCTAATCAAAAACCATCCTCCAGAGGATGTGAGTGAATAGCAGATGACCTGGGGTTTGGTTTTTTTAATTCTGATTTGTTGAAATTACCTTAATGTAAATATATTTAAATAAGTGATTTAATAACCTGTTTGTTATTTAAGATATGTTTGGCAGGATGTGACAGTGCAAGGCCTGCCTCAGTCTTCATGAGGCTGATGTTCTACCATGAGCTTGTCAGTTTAGGAGAACTTCTTTTCCCACTATGCATTTATCTGAGACTGTGCACATCAGTGTTGTCAGTATCTGCATCCTAAAACATCCATTTGAAACTGGACATAATTCGCTGCATCTGCTAGTTTTCTCACTGATATCCCACAGAGCTCCAACCATATTTTTGCTTTCATTTCCAAGAAGAAATAGGCCTTTGCTTTTGGGTGAACAACCTGGTGAATCTGATTTGTGCCTCCACAAACCCCATCTGGTCGTGGTTCTGAGCAGCGTGTTATATAGATGCAGTACTGATGAGACATCACTGGAAAGCAAAAATATCTCTCCTACAATGAAAGGAATTTGAAAAATATTGGAACTTTTTCATGAAAATATCTAAATCTTCACTGATCACTTATGTGAACAAACCACTCTACTGACCC